CGCACTGCAAGATAAGTTTTCTCCACCTACTAGTACCACGGCCACCATCCTGATTAAGGACTTCGCTCTAAGCTTAACTCTGTCTCCACAAATTCGAAAATCATAATTGTAATATTTTTCAAGTTCAATAATAAACTGTATAATTTCTCTACCTTTCAATTCCCGGTCTACCACGTGTTAGCACACGACCCCCCTGACCACGTTACATTTGCCGCCCAACGTGGGGTCTTACATCGTCACCTTAGCAATTTATTATAAACGCATCGTAAAAAAATCTTATTTGATTCAGCGTTCATCTCACATAGCTGATGACAAATAGATTTAACAAAATTATTCATTTTGTACTAAGTAAGTAGTCATTTTGTGTTACCACACAAAATGACTGACAAGCAGGAGGTTGTCAAGTAATGTAAATAAATAGGTCTTAATTGAATACTGACCAGTTGCAAAGAATAACATGACACATCTCAGGCCAAAACCTCCTTTCTAAGGAGAGGCTTATGTCCAGCAGTGGACTATTAAAGGCTGTTGATGATGATGATGATGACATCTCACGCACAGACGTCTAACTCTAAACTAGGCTGAGTTTTAATTGCGAGAACAAGACTGCTAAACATACTTATACACTTATAACTTATAAAATACTATAGCTCTATTACATCCAAACACTTTTTTTAATGACCATGACCATCACACAATTAATTAGTTCTGGGTGGGATTCGAACAAATAGGCCCGTCAAGGTCGCCCTTTACTTTATTCCCGAGTCGTGTAATATACCCGTGAATAAAGTGTCGCCAAAATTGTATTATTAGTATAGATGTAGACCGCCAGGTAATGTAGACAATAATTGGCTCTCTCAGTAAATGGGGTCATCTATATTTAGTCTAGCACTTAGTTTAATACTTCATCGATTACATAAAGACAACTTCCTCGACCACCTGTCACGTATGAGAACGGGGTCACAATGTCATACAAACAACTTATTTTTGCCGGCGAAAATTACATCAGTGTTAGACTATTGCTCCGGCGATAAGTTGTTAAAAATAGAAAGTGTTGTGTTGTGTAATGTGGAAAATTATGCGTTGAGAATGCCATGAGTACGCATCGAATACTGGGCTTTAATTAACCCCATTTCGCGTGGTGTGCTCACTAAGAACTGTTCAAACGCTACGTGTTGCATACCGAAGGCATTGTTGATGAGCTAAACTTTAATTTATATAATTATACCTATATTAGGCTTCTGGGATCAGTATTTGTAAGTTATGTGTATACAGGAGACATGGAAATTATTGCTACTTTCAAATCATATTCATTTGATGTAATGATTAGTATACACAGTGATTTAACATGTGATTGTGATTTCGTCATAGACAAAGATAAAAGGCATTATAATTACCCAAAATTCTTTTTATCAAAGATTACGACTTTATAGTTTTTAGATTTAGACTCTTCGCGAGCCTTGCGCTAGCGTAATAATAATAATTGAGTCACAGTGGTTTTATAACTGAGTAACAGGTGTGATGATATGATTTATAAATCATATGCTTTATCACATGCGATTGTGATTTTATTCCATCCCTGGTATACAGTAATCGTTTCATCGCTGACTTTCTTTGTGGAGTAACTTTTTTATGATTTGCCCCTATGGCAAACTATGACTACCGCGGTCCATAGACAACTGCATCTTAAAATCACAAGTGCGTTACCGCCTCATGAGTCTCAGACGAGAATCAGGGCTTGCGGGGGTAAGGTTTATATCCTTTAACCTCATCCGATGAAAAGAAACGAAGAAATGGCATAACATCGGGTTCCTGTGAGGCCTTGATATCAGCCTGGTCGCACCACCACACTAGATAGCAATGGTTGAGGATATATTCATCATCAGCAACAGCCTTTACTAGTCTACTGCTGGGCATAGGCCTCTCCTTAGAAAGAAGGTTTTGGCCTACTATACCACGCTGGCCAGATGGGTCGGTATAGGGTTTGTTTCAAGCTTTCCTTCTCTTTGCAGTGCTCTTTGCAGTGTTGGCTCTTACGACACCGACAATATGAATAGGGGTGGTGACACTGTATTCTTAATCACAAACAAAAAACATTTAATGTTATAATAAACTTAGAAAGTTTCACTTTAAAATTGTTATGTAAGTAATAAACAATAGGTAAAGAGAGTTGATTTCATTTTGCAGATATCTGACTGACAAAAGCTTTGTCTAATTATTTCTCATTAGTTTCTGTAGTTTTGAAAACAGGAGTATTTTTAATTAATAACAACCATACTTAGAGCAATTTGTAATTTTATGTTCATAATTGCAGCTCTCGTAAAAGATGTGCAAATAACAAAAAGACAAACAAAATCATAATACACTGGACAATAACAGAACAAAATTATCGTCTAGTGCTATCATACTAATGTATCCTATAAGAGATAGACGCAAATTAACATTCTCATAATACGAGTTCATTCTCGATGTTCGCGTGACCGATTCTATTATACAACACGCAATGCTGTGTGTTATCTATGTAAACCTACTGCGATTTTATACCACATTACCTGCGGTAATGATGTATTTATGTCAATACCATCTGTCAACTGACTATCAAATTATGATTTATTATTCTTTTTTTTTATGGAATAGGGGGCAAACGAGCAGACGGACGCAAACCTGAAAGCGACTACCGCCGCAAATGAATGCCTGCAACTCAGAAGTCACAAGCGCGTTGTCAGCCTTTTAGGAAGGAGTACGCTCTTTTCTTAAAGGTCGTATCGGTCCGGAGCGATATTCTTATAAATCAATCAAGCAAAGTTCTGAATTTACGCAATTATTTCACTACAATAAAATAAACTTAGCTGATTTTCTCCTCTAAAACGCCGTAATAGTCTATTGTCAATCGTAAAAAAATATTTCAGGGGTAATAACAAGCTGATTTACTACTAAATAAAGCATTAATACTTGTTACATAATTGTTAAAAAGTAATAAATTTGTTGACAACGCAATATAAACTGTAAATGTTAATTTAACAAGACACATTAACAAGTTTCCACATTCGCGGTAATAAAAGCCTTTGGACTTTAAGAATGAAATATAAATTTATAGTTATTTATTCATTGAACGACTGGATGGCTTAGTGGTTTGTGTAACGGACTGCTATTCCAAAGGTCGCTAGTTCGATTCCCGCTCAAGTCAAACATTTGCGTGCATGATCATTTAATGTTTGATTTGGTCTGGGTGCTTCTATGTGTAATATGTACGTATTTACAAAAAATAAGTATGTATGTATTTATATCAGTTGTCTAGTACCTAACCATAGTACAAGCTCTGCTTCTCATTGCTCTGCAACAGTCATTTCTAATACTTTCATAATGAAAATGCTCCTTAACAATCCGAAAGCTAAAAACAAATGATTATTGTAAACATATATGTGTGTTTCTTAAATATGGGAGAAACGTTCTCTTTATGAAACTAGTATCCTAACTCTTTAACCAAATGTGACAAAGTAAATTTACTACCATCATGTTGCAAAGATACATATACACACTCGTGATATAATTTCCAGTCCGTGTAGTGACGGATTAAGAATACAGAGTGTCACCACCCCTATGCATCCCGTGGGTGTTGTAAGAGCCGACTAAGGGAGTAAACTACGCAGAACAACAGCACTGCAGAGAGAAGGAAAACTTGACACAAACCCTATACCAATCCGTCTGGCCAGCGTGGTATAGTAGTCCAAAACCTCCTTTCTAAGGAGAGGCTTATGTCCACCAGTGGACTATTAAAGGTTGTTGATGATATAATTTCACGCCATACCACCACAATTTTAGAACCACAGCAGGGCTGTTGAATTTTTAATTTATTGTACGTATGAGACGATCACGAAATCAATTCGGTGAGTCGATTTCATTATTCTAAAGCGACATTCAAGAGATTTATATATGTAAATACATTAACGCAAAAAGTTAGTCTGGTGTGACTACCGACGCTTATGCTATGAAATCATCGTTTATTTCAAACATTGATTATGCTCAAATAATAACCCACACAATGAAATTCCTCGCCTAAATCCGAAATGCCAATGTTTTTGCGTTTGGAATCCCGACATGTTATTGAGACATTCGAATTCTAATAAGTCTTTAAATTTTGGACACATTTTTCTTACGTCCCCAGACAGCTACGAATCGCAGCGAGCTTTAAAACTCTTAAAAAAATCAAGGGAGGCTCTTCGACGAGACACGATTTCCATACTATTAACGTGGGTGTGGCTATTAACGTTGTTAATTTGTTACGTTTACAAAGCGCTTAGCTTTGTAAACGTAACAAATTAAATCGGCAGTTTTTCTAGACATAGATTAATGTACAGAACAGATGGCTTATACCGTTTATGCGTCTTTCGTGTGGTGACGGATAAAGAATACAAAATGTCACCATCCCTATTCATCCCGTGGGTGTCGTAAGAGCCGACTAAGGGAGCAAACTACGCAGGGCAACAGCACTGCAAAGAGAAGGAACACTTTGTCAAGTGTTACTACACTTGACAAAGTGTTCCTTCTTCACTACTACTGTTACTATAGCAACCCGTCTGGCCAGCGTGGTATAGTAGACCAAAAATTCCTTTCTAAGGAGAGGCCTACGTCCAGCAGTGGACTATTATAGGCTGTTGATGATGATGAGATGATACTTCTAGTCCTCCTATCCTTCCTATTAATCAAGCTTGTATATGTATAGATATCTCACAGGCAATTTAATGGGTGCCTAATTTCTATAATGAGTGGCGTAATTCTTAAAGTAACTCTTTCAAAAATTTGCTTCCTTGACAATGTTGTAGTCAAAAATGATGTGAAAAAAAAAATATGTTGACGATTTAATAATTTTTTTACCGAAGCGGCTTCAAATTTGAACCTGTATTCTTTTTCAGGCTGACTGCGTATGTTACCCTTAACCAATACTGTTACTAGCTCAACTCTACTGACAAAAAAATAACAAAATATTATTTTAATTTCAGTTTCATCGAACAAGATAAGGTGTCCGGATTCTGGACATGGATGTTCGTCCTCTCGAAGCTACCAGAGCTGGGAGACACGGTGTTCATCGTGCTACGCAAGAAGCCTCTGATCTTCTTGCACTGGTATCACCACATCACCGTGCTACTGTATACCTGGTACTCGTTTACAGAGTACACTTCATCTGCGCGCTGGTTCGTCGTCATGAATTACTGTGTGCACAGGTAAGTTTACAATATCATCAACAGCCTTTAATAGTCCACTGCTGGTCATAGGCCTCTCCTTAGAAAGGAGGTTTTGGCCTCCTGTACCTCGCTGGCCATACGGGTTGTTTGTAATGAAGGTTTGTTTAATATTGACTCCCCAATAATAAATGGACATTCTTAAATATAAATTTAGAGGGTATGCATGCAGTTTATTGAGTCGAATATTGTAAGCAGAGACTAAACTACAAACTTGAAATTTTAGCCGCTGATGTTTTATGTTATAAGCACTTTGAAAGTATTATATTCACCCCTAAGGGGGTAAAATAAGGGATACTACAACCGGTAGTGAAGTTCGTCAATTTCAAAGCTAAAAACACGAGAAAGGAATAAACGCGCTAGTTAAAAATAAATGCTCATATCCTGAAATAAAAAAAGATTATATTTCGTGACGAGTCAGTACCAGTCACCATTCATCATTTAGGTACGTCCCACAGACGCTATTAACCGAAGTATAGACATCCCGTTGAGTTACAATATGGCTGATAACATCTTAAACGTACATTGTCATAAAGGTTTCATGATATTTTCTATTAAAAATTAAACGTTCCAGCAGTTCAAAGGCCGTAGACCTAATTTAAAACCTAAAACGTATGTACGTAACCGCTATAAAATTTATCAATTACCAGCTGACCCGCGCCATTACGTCTGCGTCTCTCGAAAGAAATACGTTTTCATTGATCTCGGCTAATATTGGACGTAGCGTGATGTTACGTGTGCCTATAGCCTTCCTCGACAAATGGGGTTTGTAAAACAATCTTTCAATTCGAAGTAGTTCCTGAGATGAGCGCGTTCAACCAAACAAACTCTTCAACTCTATAAGTATAGTATAGATGAGCATGGTATGGTGGTAACCTTATTTTCGGCACTTTGTGTTTGTATGACCTAGCAGAGAAAGCCGAGGGACCTCCACGTTGCTACGTGTTATTCTGAACAAATATTTGTGTAACCAACAGAGATTAATGTCGTACATTACGATTTGTGTACTTCGTAAGTTTGCCTTATTGTCTGTGTAAGGTGCCTTTCAAACAGATGAGGCGATTCTCCTTACACGCACAAATTCATAATAGGCCTTTTATTTATTACTGTTTTCGCCTACCTATACTTTGACTACATATAAATAACTAGCTGACCCGCGCAACTTCGTCTGCGTCTCTCAATAGTAATAAATTTTCTCCGTTTTTGAAACATTCTTCGTTGGTGCTACGCTCCTATTGGTCTTAGCGTGATGATATATAGCCTATAACCTTCCTCGATAAATGGGCTATCTAACACTGAAAGAATTTTTCAAATCGGACCAGTAGTTCCTGAGATTAGCGCGTTCAAACAAACAAACTCTTCAGCTTTATAATATTAATATAGATTTACCGATTTCAATGCGACTACAACATAACATAACAAACTGTATTCTTAATGGATGGGGGATGAATTATATTTTTAAATTTGAATAGGATCAAACGAACTATAAAATATCTTTTGAAATCGGTTCACAAATGATGACATTCAGAGTCTAAAATATTAAAAACAACAAATTCAGAACCTCCTTTTCTAGAAGTCGTTCAAAACACCTAAATTCCTTGATCATCTATCACACGCTATAATAGATCATTAGTGTTAAGTGACGCGTATACCTTCGCGGAATTCCCGGCGTTCGATTGCAACAAAAATTGCCTACCGTGTACACATGCGAGCATAATAACCATTGTCATGGATATGCTTGGTTTACACGATTTACACGTGTGTAAGGGTGCTTCTACACGGTGCAAGTAGCTGGGGCGGGCAAAGACGCGGGATACTGGCGTCATTAGCATGCACGAGTTACTTGCACGTTTGGTTGATATAATGTGGGTTACATGTTCGAGTTGCTGGACCCGCAAAGTCCTTTTCGCGAAGCATATAACCTACGCATGTGCTTCAACATGCGCAAGCTACTTACTCCTAGTTTTGGTGAAAATCCATTTAATTCTAGTTACATATTGAACTAAACTATAGGTATCCTAAATTGAGCTTGATCGATTTAATAGTTTTTGAGTCAAGCTAAACATAAAAGGCAACAGAGTTTTGTGATGAGAACGATCATTTGTTCTGTCTGCGTGTACTTTATCTATAACTAGCTGGTGCCCGGGACTTCGTTCGCGTGAAATTTGATAATCGCTGCCTTAGTGAGTTCGATTCCCGGACCAGGCAAAATTTTATAGGGTTTTTCTCAGAGAAAACCATTTTGAGTTTGAGTTTAGTATATAAATAGAGTACCATTTCAAGTCTCCAATATATAGGTTGAGAAGTTACCTGACATTAGCAGTTCTCAACTAGGGCTGCTACTAATATCATTAGTAAATAACAAAGGAATAAAATGGAAATTTAAAATAAACTGATAAATCGCCTAAACGAATTTGTGTTTCAAGTTATGCAGTCGAAATAATTACATATTATATAAAATTTGTCAATTACGATACTGCAAACTAGATCATTATTTTAAGGGCACTGATACGATTTTGATAAGGGGCTTCAATAAACCATTTTTTTTATCAATCCATAAAGTTTAAAGCACTTCGATAATGCTTATCGTAATAAGGAAAATTGGCTGCGCGTCATTTCTTGAACATTTATTACAAACAAAAAAGCGGGCAAAGTAAAATGGTTACCTAACAAACCGCATGAGAAAGCCATCAAGGAAATAAACTATACCAATATTATTAAGCTTTAAAGTTTATTTGGTTGGTTCTTTGAACTCATCAACAGCGTATAACAGTTCACTATTGGACATAGGCCTCTCCTTAGAAAGGAGGTTTTGGCCTACCATACCACGCTGGCCAGACGGTTTGATATAGGGTTTGTTTCAAGTTTTCCTTCTCTTTGCAGTGTTGTTACCCTGCGTATATTGCTCCCTTAGTCGGCTCTTACGACACCCACGGGATGAATAGGGGTAGTGACATTCCGTATTCTTAATCCGTCACCACACGGACTGTTGTTAGAACTACTAGTTCGAATTGAAATATTCTTTAGATTTAGCATAGCCCATTTATCAAAGAAGGCTATAATATGCTACACACTACGACCAATAGGAATCGAGCAACAATGAATAATGTTGCTCGGCAGAAATTTATTACGTTTGAGAGACCCAGACTGTCTCAGACGAAGGTCTGCGAGTCAGCTAGTTAGGGTATAAAGTCTCACAGAAACCTTTTTCAATGACAATTTGACTGCACGGATGGCGTAGTGGTTTAAGCAGTCGCCACGCCGCCTCCTACTACGCCGAGTGTTGTGGGTTCAAACCCCACATGGGACGACACTTTGTGTGATCCACAAATTGTTGTTCTTAGTCTGGGTGTTCTTTGTGTCCGTTTCATGTATGTTTGTAAAGTCCCCCGCGACACAGGATATTTTCCTAATGCTGGAGTTGTCTTTAATTTATTTTTAATGTTACTTTTTCTTCATTCCAGTGTCATGTACTCATACTACGCGTTGGTGAGCATGGGCAAGTACCCACCAAAGATGCTGGCGATGACGATCACCTTCCTACAACTCTCGCAGATGATCGTGGGATGCGCGATCAACATCTGGGCACACAACTACATGACCAGCTCCAACCAACACTCGTGCCACATCAGCCAAATCAACATCAAGCTTTCAATGGCCATGTATTTCTCATACTTCGTATTATTCGCACAGTTCTTCTACAAAGCATACTTGTCCCCCAAAACGAACAAAAAAGCCAAAATTGAACCGATCCCCGATGTTCCAATTAAAAAGAATAATTATAACAATGGTTACCCGCGACAAAGGAACGGCGTCGTCGCGCACTAGTCGACGTCAGCGTGTGATATGTCCTAGTTATAGTTAGAGGTTATGGCTGTTATTTATTTGGCCACGATTGGGCTGAGTTGACGGTTAAATACGGTCTTCCATTCGTTCTTTAAACACGCGTAAAAAACGAGTGATACTACCATTCAACATGGAGTTAAAAAAAAAAGAAAAATTTAAATCGCTTTTTTTTACATTTCAAGAACTTACTATTAATCTTGCTACATTTCTTTTCCACTACATAAGATAAAATATTGTTTAATCTGTTTCGATATTTATTTAATTTGGTACAAATGTAATAATATTATTATTATTATTTTAGTAAGTAGCGAGATAGTATTCACCGGCCATATTGAATTTATACGTGCTCAATATACGACTTTAAGATTCCGTCGATAAAGTCCAATCGTGGTCAAATGACTCTGGAGGCGTCGCCGAGCTACATTCCACGCTAGACTGTTTGTTTGCGGACGGTACATAGCTTTTGTTATGCTACTCTCTTGTGACGACTCACAATTCCACGATAGACAGAATATTTAAGACACAACATTGTACTAGCCTGTACTCGCAGATGTCAACTAAATTATTGACGTAGTACATGCTGTTCTCTTTTTGTCTATCGAGGAATTGCTTTAGTTTTAGTGGACGATAGGAGCTTTTTAATAATTAGAATAAATAAGAATATTTAATACTCAAAACATACAAATCTGAGCATCAGTACATATTTGAGACATCAGGAATTTCATTAAAGTAAAGAAACATCAAGTACATAGAAAACATTTACATTTTCTAACAAAAAAGCTCTAAATTTTTATTTAGATCGTAGTCGTCACAATAGGTTAGAGAAATTCATAAAAATGGCGGCGTCCTCGCAGTGTCTACACGCTTTTATATGGGATCTGTGTATCGATGATTTAGGATGTGTTATTGTGAGTGTGAGTGTTGCATCGAATTGAAACTTGTAAACATAAATAATAATTTAACAACTGTTTTGTGTATGGTTTGTATAACCTGAAATTTATTGGGCAACAACATATTGCCAAAGACAACAAAAGTTATAGACAATTGTTAGTTTAAAATATTTTTACAATGTATTAGAACAATTTCGATGAATTTCGAACGATTAATGTTTATTCGTATTGAGAAAATTATATTTTTAGTATGAAACTAAAATATATAACTACAACACGTGTACAAGAAGCCATTATGTAAAGAAGTACATATTATTATTTATGTATTATTTTTAACAGGGTCTCATTAGTTTAGCGAAGAGATTGATGAATGATTGTCTACTCGATTTTGTTCGTTTTAAAGCGATTTATAATGGACCCTGAATATTTGTAAGTTTAATTGATCAAATTAATATTACGGATGATGAAACATTCCCAGTTTATGAGAAATGTAAAACCTAATTTATTTAACGCATTACTAATTGTGTTCGACACGCTATCCTAAATTATTGTTTCAGCAAGACCTATATAAAAGCTACGATTTGTTGTTATTATGTCATATTTATTACTTAAAGAAAAAACTTAGTGATTTTTTTTTATTAATTTATTTTTAAAGGGATAGTTGTACCTATATACTTTGTAAATGTTGAAACGATGTTTGCGCTTCGTGTAAACCGCTTGACGTGCGGTGTGTAGGTGTAATACTTTGATATGCTTGTCAAACAAGTGCACAAAGTGTAAGAAATATAATTCATGATAGTGGAATAAGCAATATTAATGAGAAGTTTTGGCTAAAATGGCAGTTTACGGCGCGTTTAGCATATACATTAAAACTAAATTTACACTTTTCACAGACAAATATTCTTTTTTTTAAGTAAATTAAAAAAAGAATATGTGTTTGAAGGTAACGCTCTGCGGACGTACGGGCGAATTAAAGTTCAAATCTACGCTTCCCAACGGTAACGGGTAAGTAAACGTTACCGTACGAAAGCCTCTAAAACCGGCAGCGTTTACGCAACGTAAACGCGGTCATTGTGAACATAGACTTAACTAGATTTAGGCCGACGCTAATATTGGACGCATACAAATTATGATATAAGCGTCTTATAATGTCCAATTGCGTTCACGATTGTACGATGTCGGCGTGTTAGTCGATTATGTGATGGTTTACGGAATTAGAAACGTTATATCCTTTTAATAAAGTACACGAAACGCTTTGGATTAACGAAATAAAAAACGCTAACTAGCGGTTGTTCTAACTTGACTATAGATAAAATTAGAATAGGTTTATTCCCTGCAACTGTCCTCTGATTGACCTTAATTTGGGTAACCAATTTGTATTAATGCTACGTTTTAAACTGTGCTTTATATATTGATATGCGGGTTAGGTGACTAATTTTTGTTTGTTGGTATGTTTTGTACACTTATTCTTATAAAGAATGTGTTCGTTGCTAGTAAGCAAGACATTGTTACTAGTAAACAACACAACATATTTACTCAGTTTTGTAGTAGTGTATTTACTCAGTGGCGGATTAACTACCAAGAGCGCCCTAGGCAAACATCTCATCATCATGAAAGAACAAGGCTTCAGATTTGTCCAGAGACACCTCGAGTCGCCGGATCCTCCCGGTGTGCCTTACCACACGCCGTCACAAACTCGTCCAGAACGACGTCCGAACAACAAACCCAGTCGTCGATAATCCACGGGGATTGTCGACCACGACTAGTTGCTCCGCGGTGCCTTCTTGGATGATGTCGCCGTCACGTGCTACGCGGACGACTAGCTTGTGACGCCGTGCGGTAACGCACACCGGCCGGATCGTGTTAGCTGCTCCTAGACCTGCCCTTTAAAAGCGCAGGCACCACCTTCGCGTCACCTCCTCGCGGTAGGCCTTCGTGGCGACTGGATGGGAAAACCCGGCCACCTGAGAACACACTCAGGGCGACATGAGGCGCTGGAAAGGCACGCCAGCCATGGTGTTGAGCCAAGTTCTAACTTTACTGCAGTGAGGACAAGCGCAACTCAATTTACTGCAGACGTGCCCATAAAAGAACTGTGGAAGAAGTGGGTTCCGTGCTGCCTCTCTGCTTACTAGACGATCACCGGCTAGACCGCCTCCACGGCGCCAAAGCCAGTACGTGGAGCGTCCAGACGACAAACGAAATATCGTGGCTCGGCAAGCGGCATTTAGCCACTCATTTCCACCGCTAAATGCCAAGGCAGCACCCTCTGAGCGCGCCTTAATCTGGGCAATTAACGCTTCCGCCCACACCGTTGCACCGTATAGTGCCATTGACTGGACTATCCTGGTCTATGACTATAACTTTTAGAGTAATTTTTACTACAGCTGCAGTTGTAGCAAACTGCATTTTTAGCACTAGCCTCAATCTTCGTAGGCATCAGAAAATGAAAGCAAAGAAGTAGTGGCAATTATGTAATATAAGTCCTAGATGTCAACCTTAAGCATCTTTTTAGAATTAAGGATTTTTTATACTGTGTAAGTATGTGCATACTTACTGACACAGTTATTTTTATGTTAGGCAAGTATATTTTCTTTGTAAAAAAACTGCGCGTGCGCCCCTTTGTAATCTCGCGCCTCTAGGGTTAATCCGCCTCTGTATTTAACGAAGGAAACAGAATTTAAATCACGTGTAGGATTCGTTTTAGATATATTTATTACTAAATACATCGTTTATTATTTTTCTTTTTTTCTTAAGTATATTTTTAAATCATTAAACAACGAGACACGTATTTTTAACCTACTTAATTACACAAAAGAGGAGGTTATCAATTCGTCTGTATAATTTTTTGTACATTGTGTTAAAATAAAAATAAAAGTCTTATACTCTTTTATACATATCATCTGCTGTGCGCATCAATCCGTCAGATACAAACAAAATGTTTTATTAATTACTTTTAATTATAAAAAAAGAGTATCATTATATATCCTGTTATTTGTATATGATATTTACCGACAATGTACCGACAGCTTTTCGTTGCTTTTCACTGAACCAATGAGGAAATCTAGGGCAACGCACTTGTGCACCAGGGCCTTCCTTTCTAGGGTATACCTGGTTCCCCGGCTATTAGTACCCGGCGAAGGCGTGCGGTTTTAGTCGGTTCGTGTCCGACATGCCACCGACAGGTGGTATCCGAGGGGATTTCCGCACGGAAAAAAAAAAAAAAAAAAAAAAAAAAAAAAAAAAAAAAAAAAAAAGGGCAACGCACTTGTGGCCAGTATGATAAACCATGAAAAGAAAAACAGCCTATTACAGCATATAGGTAATACGAAACACGGTTTAAAAAGTATGTTATTAATACAGGGGTAACTTTGAACAGTGAGTGTGCAAGTTAGCATAGTTTTAGCCAAGGTCAATTTCGTCTAGTACCGTTGATAGAAGTCACAATTTAAATATAGGCAATTACAAATAGGCGGTTATTTTGTCCAGTTCATTGCTTTGTCATTAACAATAATGAGTTTAGGATCATGTAGTATATTATTTTAAGGTTTAAGGTGGAGAAATGAACAGGTAGGCATCGGGTTCTGGGAAACTAAGTGAGCTACGCTTTTGTTATTGTAAACAGGTATAAAGTACATCGCGAAATAATTTTGTATTGTTATTTTTTTTTTCAATGATTCTTTGTATTTTTGCCCGCTGTGATTATGTATATGTATAAAAGTATATGTTTTGTTACATTTAATTTAGCCTATTGATATAAAATTTACAACAACTACGGTTGCATGACCCTACGATAGTCCAAAGCGCCAAACTCGGTTCTTGCTTGTTAATGTCAAATTACAAAATTAATATATTTTTAATCAGAGTTTGGAGCATTTGTACAAAGTTAGTGTATTCACGCAGCCTCGCTGAAGCTTATTTATTTTGGATTATTAATTATATAAGCATAAGTACATTCTTAATCAGAACTTTTTTATAAGTATAATATATTGCCAATAGAAGTCTAAAAACGTTTGAAGTTTATCACCATGTCTGGTTATCCTAATAAGCGAATGGTTCAACGGTTCAACAGCCTCACAGCCTTTTTTCAGTCGCTCTCTCTCTCTCTATCGAGTTATGAGATCTGATGGAAGCAATGACTTGTATTTCGCCTGATACTTTTGAACTATTGAAATCGCTTTCACAGCCGGCCGTGGTGTCAACTGCCTACAAGAAGGAATCCTAACAAACATTTCTATTACTAAAAACAAATAAAGCTTCAGCGAGATTACTCGAAGTACTCGCACAGGGTAACATAATTTTCGTGTAATTCAATCTTATTATAATTTTATACTTTGAATATATTCAGAAAAAAAACTTGTCTCACTATGTATTGTGTAAAAATATTGATAAAACGAATTGTTTCTGAGAAATGATTTGAGCCAATCATAGTATATAATATATAATCAATTACGCATTTATTATTTAATAAATAATTTGTCGCATTTACGAATAATGAAAAAAACTGTTGTTACAAATGTTCTCTGTAGAACTATAGCGGTTACAGTTCCATAATCAAGAAGATATTTTTAAAATATATTTTTGTGAGGAATGTTTTGTGGTTACAACTTGTTCAGAGCTGAAGATTATAAATAGCGGCAGTGCATTTTAATCTACGATCTTAAGTGGAAATATTCTTGCAATCATTCATTTGTACTTTCTGGGCAAATAAAGAGTTATGCGTAATCAATAACGTGTTTTTATTCTAGAATAATTATTGAACAACAAATTATTTTAGGGCTGAAACTTAAATCAACTGTCTGTTTCTCCGATAAACCTTGCCGGCTAAAGAAGATAGTTTTTCCACGACGCAGTTAGCAAGACCAACCAAATCCAGCTTGCAATCATTGTGGCTATAAGGCTGGACTACATATACACTCAATTTCATGCATATGATGAATGTTGGTGCAATCATTCGTGTGAATACTTTTAGTGAGTAGTATTACTAAATAATACCGAATACCATAATTGCAATTACAAAATAGTGCTTAAAGTTAATTGTCATATAATTCATGACGGATAACTGTAAAGTATTATTAAAATAATCAACTAAAAATTAGAAGCAGTACAGCTTAGTTTCTTAAAACATTATTTTAAAAACTTTAGCTGTATTAAGAATTTTGACGAATATCAGCTGATTGTATTGATTTTTTTTTTATGTACTTTTATGGCCTGGTAACAAGACCTTTAAGCCAAGTCTTAATTTTTGATAGATAACTTCACTATTTTCACTTCACTTCAATGTTCAATCTCAATCAAAAGTGCATGATTCTAGGCGGGAATTTGAACCGTTCAAAATCCTCCGCCCCTTCAGCTCAAATTCCCGCCTAGCAATCTGATTGTATTGACATGAGTCAATATTGTTGCCAGGTTGAGTGAAGTTTCCTGCCAATTTGAGAACTTACTGTGTTCAGTACACACTTTGAAGAACGAATAAATGGTTAAAATGAAACGTTTTTGTAGAAATCTTTATTCAGTTTAAGTGATTTCAAATCAGTCAGTCATAAGTCATTCATCAGTTATTATTCCAAAATTAATTTTATTTAATGAAATATTGTTTTAACAAAAATTTTTGAAATAGAATTTATGTTAGGGAGATTTCATCAAGCTGTTTTCTAAGACTGGCAACACTATTTCCCTAACTTCAAATAATTTTGCTGAAGTTTCAGCCAGTTTCAGATCTTCGCTTTGTTTATAAAAATATAATTAATCAACATGGATCTTATCGATAACGATATAAGGCAGTGGAGTGCCGAAGAAATAAAGGAGCAGTTTGGGGATAATTTGACATTGTTGCCTTTGAATGATAACATTAAGGAATTGCAAACGATCTTGAGAGACAAGTGAGTACTGACTGAGTGAGGTTAATGTACCTTATGGCTATGTACACCCTGTACTTAAAGAGTAGCATAATAAATCTCTCTGTTTGTCCGCTTCAATTTTATTCGAATTTATAAATATTTTACGTAGTAAGTATGTTGCTAATATTTTAGTTCTTTTAGTCGAGTTTTTATGTTGCTAAAGTGAATTATTTGGGTTCTTTACTTTTTCATTGTTTTATAAAGATTTTATAAAGATCATCAAAAATGTCTCACTCTAGCCATTTTTCTTCCTCCTTACGCCCAAGTGAGCCGGCTTAGACCATTGTCAACCACATAACTTTTGTTCACTAAAGAGAGTGTCTACAAACTTTTTAGAATATTACAAAGTACACTCTGAATCCAGGTACCATCAGAATTGTTTACTTCACTATAAATGTTGTGGGGCTAGTACTACTTTGATACTGTCTGCTGTGTTGAGAGTGCTTGTTTTTTAAATTCAATATTGCGATTTCACTGAATAAGTAAATTGACATTATCACAATGGTGTTAGGTATAATACTAAATATTCTTATAGCTTATCACACTTGCATGCAAATTTAATAATTAATATACAAATTAAATTGATAATTTCTAGCTGCCAAGATAAAATATTAAATATTTGCATGCTTCATTAGTTTAGAAGAGTATGGAAATACTTTTTATAAATATTTGCCTCCATCATACCTTTAGTATTAGCTCCAAAGTCTCTGATGTGAGGAAGTTTATTTAAAAACTAGAATTGATGCATGTTAAACTCCATTACCAATACATTTGCCCTGTAGTTGCACCTGTGTATGTTTATTGCTCTGCAGATTTTGAATAGTTTCAAGATCATTTCATACTTAATGAAATACAAAAGTATGTTTTTGATATTAACTGCTGTTCTAGGCATTTGATTTATTATATTCAAATTAAAAACCATGTGTTTTGTTTTCATCATTCTTCTTCAGAAATACATCCCGCAGTGATTTCAAGTTCTACGCAGACCGGCTTATTCGTCTTGTGATTGAGGAAAGTTTAAACAAACTGCCATTCACTGATTGTGAAGTTATTACTCCGACAGGAGCTCTGTATAAAGGTCTCAAATATGGGGCTGGAAACTGTGGCGTGTCTATTGTCAGATCAGGCGAAGCTATGGAACAGGTTTGAAATCAGACTCCTTCTTTAAGCATATGACACTACCTAAACAATAACTGCATCAATCAGTTCTTGTATAAATTGTCAGCTCTTAATAAATTTGTTGAAAAGTAAACACATAGTTCCTTCATGAAATTCTTCTAATTGTTGCTGCTAGATATACTTACCGGTTCTGTGTTGCTTCAGTTCGTGAAGTGTATTAAAAGAATTGCTCACAGCAGTTGTATATGTGGCGTAAGGGCGAGGATGAACCACCTTGTTCGTGCCAGCCCTTATGCAACTAAATATGGTTTTCCCACCATAAAAATAAAAATTGAATTAAGACCTTTTTTTTGATAAATTCTAGGGTCTCCGTGACTGTTGTCGGTCGATTCGTATCGGCAAGATTCTGGTGGAAAGCGACACAGACACGCACGAAGCGCACGTGGTGTACGCTAAGTTTCCCGAGGATATAGCCAGGAGACAAGTACTACTGATGTACCCTATTATGTCCACTGGGAACACAGTCAAACAGGTGTGTTCATGTATTATTGCCGTATTCCAAAATTTAACTACAGAGCAGTAAGCCTATGAAAGGCAGGATTGCCAGTGGGGATAGCATTCAGTGTTCGAATTAATTAATCGTACAACATTATTTTTGTCATTTTTTTTTATCTTGCATTTATTTCTAAATTCATCAAAATTCTTAAATGTTGATTTTCAAAATAAAAGGCTATTTATCTATTTTTGTGACGTTACATGTAAGATCACATGGGTCAGGGTTGGAAACCAATTTAAAAAAACCGATCTAGTACAAGTCGAACTCGTGCGCCGAGGGTTCCGTACCTACCCGGGTTTTATGTAGATTTTCGCGAAAATATGTAAGTACCAAAACTTATCTTAATTTTTTATTTTATTTAGTTTTTGGAATTATGCCTTTATTTGTGCTGTAAGACGTTCCTTTTTGCCAAATTTCGTGAGTCTAGGTCAACGGGAACTACCATATAGGTTTTCGACCCAAAACCTATAGGGTACTTCCGGTTGACCTAGAATTGTCAATTTTGGTTAAAAGCAAGGTCTTACAGCACAAGTAAAGAGAAAATTCTGAACAATAAAAAAAGTTGAATATTAAGGTAACTTTGGTACTTACAAGTTTTCGTGAAAATCGAAATTTGCCCATGTCTTTGTATCGTGTTGACTCAAGACCTGGATTTTATACACCTAATAGGGACCATAGACCTCAGTATCTGGTATTAATTTCAACGAGCTAGGTCTACCCGTTCCTGCGAAAATCGATGATGACACACGGACAGACGGACAAGAAAGTGATCTTATAAGGGTTCCCATTTTACCTTTTGAGGTACGGAACCCTAATATATCTTATCATAAAATCGACATACTTTTCTGCAGTTTTTTTCTGTTCTTGCTTTTAATTTGATGAGCATCAACATTCAAACTAATTCATATTTGATTGTTGATGATTTTCAACCTGTAAAGCTATTTATTATAGCTCTTCTGCTTTTATTGTTGGCCAGTCTTGTTAAGGAAACGGGTTTTTTATTGGAAATGTTATTCTACCTTTTTTGGAATTATTAGTAATGCCTCTGATTTATTTGTGAGACGTTTTGGACGCCGGTGCCGTAACAGGGTTTTTTTGTTATTAGTTTGGCTTTTCTTCTTATTACATTGCAACATAGACATTACATTACTTAAAATCATTTATTTTTTATTTTTGTTATATTACAATTGCTCTCTCTAGGATCTTCGTGACGTAAAAATGTACAGTATCTTTATCATTTAAGCTGAATTCATTTCACCATTCCACTTGTCTTTAACATTTTACATAAATGTGTTCTTTCACATTCTAGGCGGTTAATGTTCTAACCCAACATGGCGTTAAAGAAGATCGCATTATCCTGTCCAACTTGTTCTGTACCCCGGCTGCAGCGCAGGCCGTGGTAGACTATGTGCCCAAAATGAAGATACTCACCTCTGAGCTGCACCCCGTGGCCCCAAACCACTTCGGACAGAAGTACTTTGGAACTGACTGATACGACGATGAATTTGAAGCCTGAAGTATTTATTTAGTTATAATTTAGGGGCGAGTTCTTGTTTAAGGCTTTAATTTTTATAAGAGTGAAGAAGTCATATGGCAGACAGAAATATTTATTGTATTAAAAAAATGTGCGTCAGTTCTGATGGCATATTGTTTAAGATGAAACTGCAATTACCTAATTACACTTAAAAATAAATCGATGAGTTTTTTTAAATGTTTTTGCAATAAAATAAATTAGAGTAAAAATGTTTAATAACCTCAATTTGCTAGCCCTAATTTTAGTTAATATTTCTAGTATAAGAATGCGATACGTTTATGATATTGGCAATAAAAACGAATGATTGTATTTATATAGATAATTTATAGGTATTTAAGTATAGTAGCTGAATTTAAAAATGTAAATAAATAAATAGCTAAAGAACAAATATTTATTTTTTCTTTTACTTATAATATCTGAATCTAATTGCGATTTCTTATTTTATGTTAATTGCATTAGAGCACCTAATTTGGAACGAAATCGATAGCGACTCCAACACGTTCCCCCGATGTTGTAATGCAAGAAAAGCATAGAGGCTCACTGTTTGAAGAAACCAAAGATTCGGTTTATCTATTATCATGAACAGCTATAAAACCTCGCTGTGGACCTTCAGTAATGATAGTTGATAGTGGCAACCCTTCTTATTTTTTGTCTTCGGAGAGACTACTACTTCGTGTCACTGACACTGGCTAGGCCACCATCGTGGATTTATATTTAATTTTTGTCATTTATTAGTCGAAATGCGTTGCCAAATAGAATTAGTCGGTCTCGCCAAGCAAAAAATGGGACCAGGAATAATTTGCTGCAGCAACTCACATCATTGATCTAGGGAGCAACCCCTCATGTTCTGCGTGCCTCTGAACTCTCACTCTCTTTTTGTGTTGGAGAGTACGGGTGCATAGTGTGGCGTACATCCGCCCACGCTAAGGAGGTTGATGTTGCCTTTAACGAGACATACCGGATCATAACGGGCTGTCTCAAACCTACCCCGTTGAGCATGTTGTATACTCTTGCAGGCATTGGCTCCACCAGACGTCCAACGAGAGATAGCTTGTGCAGTGGAGTGACATTACCTGCTAACCAAGCCGATAAGCCTAGCTAGGGCCAGGGCCATTTTTCATAACGAAATGCAACCAGTTTTTGAAGCCTACATTTATATGAAACCATAGGCTAGGTATAAATAACACAAATAAATAAAAAACTATTGATTTACTTTTAAATCCTTTATTTCAGTTTCATAGTTTACAATCTATAGATATATAGAAATATTTAATTAGATCAGATCACACAGCTAAGCAGTTGGTTTTTAAGTGTACACATTATTATAAATTAATAATTCAACATTCGAATAATTTAATCCCTAACAACAACGTTTAAAAAGTGTTCCCCAAACATTTCGTGGTCGGCTCGCATCCGCGATCTAAACACAGGTGTTATTTCACTTATATACGACTCTAAACACTAAAATATTTTATCATCATGTAAAAATATCGATAACGTTCAATTACAATATTGTAATACGATTGTTTCTTATTCGAGAACAAAAATATTTTTTATATTATTTTTATTAGTAAAACTAGATGTCACTTATCATTAGTGTTAGGCGGCGACTTACCGATGGCGTATATGGCAACACTACATCTAAAAATCTCATTTCTTTTAATGTGACACGGCAACACCATCGGTGTCCCCACAGATAATAAGTGCGTACTCCCATATAAATAAATACTTAAAATATAACACGTACATTACTCTGTCAATAAATTTCTTAAAACTATGTTACATGACAAGCACTTATTTACCATCCGTTAGGACGTTTATTAATAAAGTGAAATTATATGTCTGGCAACCCCAGATCAGGTTGTAAGACCTCTTTAGTTATAAATCTTGAACACAGTAGTTTGTCCTTTAGAATAAGCGAGAAAGGCAAGACATTATGATCACAAAATTTATAAGTAAGGTGGCTATACAAAGAGAAATAATATATACCCTCCAAATTGACTTAGATATGTTAATAAGGCATCGTGTGAATCGCACTAGGTCAATTGACAATATAAATCTAAGACTAATACAACAGCCAAAGCAAAATTATATGGCAATTAGCACGTCAATACATATCTACATACCGATAGTTGCAGGGCTCAAAATATTAATCAGAACTTAACAGTCAAAATATATAAATAAAAGATTTCAAAAAAAGTGAAATTAAATACATGATAACACATTTTGTGCATTCACATTTTTTTGTATTTTCGTTTTTTTTTGTATAAAAATAATCGTCAACACGTTTCTAGTAACTAAGGGTTGACATGGACCTTCCGTATGTTTATTTTGTCAACGAGGTCGAAAAGCATATCGCTGGAGGTATCCTGCTTTTTTGAGAAGCACCAGTCTCTGGCGTTAGCGATTACCGGTAGTATGGTTTTGTCGCTACAAAGCACATAAAACAAATATTAGTGACGTATTACATATTTATTAAAAACTAAATCGATTAACCGTATCGATATTAAAATCGACTAAACGGTTGAGAATACACTCGATGATAAAGCTTGTTTATGTGTTTGGGTTAGGTGATGTCGTGGTAGTAGTGTATTTACATGAGCTTTTGCTTGGCGCACTCGGGACAGATGATGTCTTGTCCGTCGGTGATGAAGCCTTTGCCGACCAGCGACGTCTTGCACTGGGCGCAGATGAAGCAGTCGTTATGCCAGTGGCGGTCCTCGAAAGAGATGAAGCGGGTGCCGCCGATGCCTAAAAAGTATCGGGGGTTAGTCGATTCTGAGAAACAGCTGTCGTTGCTTATAAGGTAATTTTCTACACATGGCATACGTACATAAAGTTATGAAAATAAATTCATCAGAATAAAGTTGTTGTAAACCAGTTTATTAGTTCGTGTAAGAGATTGGGTTAATGTTGATAGAGGCAACAAAGGCCTTGTGATGGGTTTTGATTTTCGAAATTCTAAAAGCCACATGTAAATGTAATTTTTCGACCGATTTGGTCCAAATCCATATTGAAATTAAATATTCTACTAGCGTGAGAGTTGGAACCACAAATATTCAATCTTTGAGATTCAAAAACTAAGAGCAAATGTAATCTTGATGCTTTAATCAATAGGCACTCTGATGTTTAAAAAGAATGATATCAATACTAACCTGTGATAGGCTTCGTGCAAGACGTGCACCTCTTCGCGAAGAGTTCTCCGAAGCACTCAGCGCAGTAGGGTTTCTCATCACGAGAAGTGAATCGCTGGCCAGCTAACGATGTGTTGCAGTTGGTGCAAGTGAAGCACTCACGGTGCCATGGCTCGTTCTTGTAGGTCACGCCACCTTGCGTGATGATCTGGCGAAAACAATATATTTAATTAACATCACTACTGACGCTCCAGATAGAGTAACAGGTCAAATCGATTTAGGAGACTATCACCAATGATGCAGTTAATCGAATGCTCTAGGATTACAAGTCCGTTTTAAATGACCTTTGACCAATGATTGGCCAGCACGTTTTATCTGCTTCTCACCTTGTTGCATTTAACGCAGCGAGTGGCAAACTTGTCTTCGTAGCAACCAGCGCAGTAGATCTCCTGCTCACGAGGGATGAAGCTCCTGGTGCCGATGGGGTTCTTGCACACGACGCAGCAGAAGCACTTTTCGTGCCACTGCCTTGTCTTGTACTCCATCTTCTTGGTGCCTGGAACAAGTAGAATAAGAATTAGGTATAACTTTAAAGATGTTTTTTTTTCTTTTTCGTATTACGTACTATCGGCGATCATCTGTACTAAATATGTTTCGTTCTCCTAGGTGTGGTTAATATTGCCTAAAATGCTATTTCCGTACAGCTTGATTTTAGCTTGTAAATAAACATGTGAAGTGTGTTACATATCACTAGTCACGCGAATCTTTTAATGCGTCTATAAATAGCATCAATACAAACTAAAACTCGTTATCTACCTTAAGTACAGATTAAAAACTTTACGCTGGTAACGTATTAGACATTTTACACACATACAAACATATACGAGTACTCAAGTCCGTATCTCCGAAAGAATAGTAGTTACGAGTAAATAAACGCGTTTTGCCAAAAAAATGGCGCCAATCGGGCACTTTGAGAAACACTCAACGTGGGAAATTGGGAGTATTTAAAAGAACAAGCAGTGAAGGAAATTGATAGTGTAAAAGTGATTTTAATAATAAGGATTAATTGAAAAGTGTATGTTTGAGAAAGTCAGGGTTGTATACCGGTAACTGGAACCCCCTTTTTCCGGGAAGTTTGGTAGATATAACTCTAGTAGACATTTTCTCTACTTATAAAAGTCGCGAGTTTCTCTAATATCCGTCTTGTGTAATTTCTTACTCAATACCTAACAACCTTCCGATACATGCACATTACCATCGTACGTTTACAATGGCAATTTGATGAGTTATTATGTAGATAGAAATGCCCTCGGCCGATGCGTTGCATTGATAGCTGGAGACAAGGCCGCTGTGACACGGAAATGACAATTCGGAACTACAATATCGTTATATTGAGACATAATGGACTTATTGGTGAAAATGTAAATTTAAAGTTAAGAATTTCAACAAAGTAATATAATTATTATGCTGCAATTATATGTACCTCTATGTTACACATTGTTGTATAGACAGGAAACTAAACATAACTAACTAGAAAACATATTTATATCAAAATAAATATATGTATCGAAACAATCAGACCCTTGCAAATAGAGATTTTAATGTTTGCAAATAATTCTACTAGGTAAAGGGAATCAAACTCGCTATCTTTGACGTTGTAGTTCATTGTCACACTACAGTTTAAGATTGAATAAAATTTTTGTCTTTATACACGCTTTACATTAGCATAAAGTAAAAAAGCGTGGGGTGCTTTATACTATTGACAACAGGCACCCAACGCTTTTTTTCAAATTTATTTTCTATTTTTTAGTTTGGTTTTCTATAGAAAGTGTGTTTTTTAAAACTATTTTTTTTAACTTCAGATATAATTGAATATTGAAGTAACGGCCACGCCCACGTAGTCCTGGAATGCGAGGGAGTGGCCACACAACGGGCAAGTGTCATTCCTGATACAAAATCGCTCCTAGAAGCCTGTGAACGCCCCAGGAGGCTTCTGCGCTTCTGGAAGTAGCTTGGTTGGCTCACCTAGATAACCAATCCTCGACGCATAAAGGACTCTTGAGTCTAAATGCGGAAACCGAAGCCCACAACCAATACCAAAATAGAATATTGACATTGCAAGATAATATAACGCAAAATATGACGGTCTATAAAATAACGGGAGTAGATTAAAATTGTTTTGCATTAGGTAATGTTATGAATTTAATTAGCAGTTACTAGTTACTTTATTACTACGTTTATATTAAAGATAATGTGTACTTCAAAGCAAAAAAAATAATGTGTGGTTGATAAAAATTGCCATATTGGATACATGTATGAAAATATTATGAGACTACAACTAGTATGTGTGAATGGGTCAAGTCATGCAAAAAGTATATTTTGTATGTGTTCACGTTCTATTTTTAAAACTTGAACGTACCAAAGCGTATATTCAACTTGTTTTTTTTCACAGACCCTCACTCATATCTAACACAAATATCTAATTGCCCAACGAACTCGTGACTTCGTAACTAAAAGCTATTAGAACTAACTTCAGTTATTTAAAGGCAAAGGCACTCCAATATAAAGCCAATAAAACTCCACAGCGGTATCTTTCTATTAAATACGTTCCATTTGTATTCAGAATTTCTTTGTTCTTATAATTCAAAATTAGAAGTTGGATTAAGTAAAGTTTTTATTTTGATACTTTGTACAACGAAATGGGAATTGTTATTTAATTTGGGAAAAAAATTGAGAGGAACCATAGACGGTAGAATTGCTTGCAATTTCGAAAAATATCTGTTTGATGTTTGAAAAAACTATTCATCGTATGTGCAGCTCGCGTGTTGATGTCTAATGACATTTTGATATATCCTGGAAAACAGATTGACATTGAAACAAAGGAATATTTGACTAATACACGCGATCGACAATAATGCATTGTTTGAACGATAGGAGCACTTTATTTTTTTATACTCATGTCAAAAGTCAGATAATTCATATGATTTTCTTTTAATTTTTAATTATGAAATACAAAGTTAATTAATCGTAAGTTGCACAGTAGGTACCATTTTTAAACCTAGAAATATACAATTTAACACAAGAGACTTACAATTTACAGGATAGTCAGATTAAAACTGCAAAAGTGTTTACGACAACTAATGCAATTTACTTATAAAGTTTTTATTAAAAAGGAAATATAAGATTTTTCAATAATGCCAGTTTAAATAGGTAGATATGAACGTTACGGTACGGCTACCGTGTATGAACAGTTTTACAAATACCCAAAGTCGATGAGAACTTTCTGGTATTTCAAAACTATGCAAATTATTCTTATAATAATAACCTGGAAGCGACAAACGCATTTAAAATGTCAAAATGTGCGGATTTCGCACGAAAAAGCATCAAAGTCATAATTTAGTTGGAAACTTAAATTGGAAAACTATTCCATCAAGGCCAAACTAATAGAAGAAAATCAGGTAAGTCATGTGTCTGAATAGAAATAAAGAAGTAAAAAAATCCCCGACTCGTCCAGACACAAATGTCACTTATTTTACTGTTTTGCGCTAAAGTTATTGCGTATTCATGGTTAAATATTGTACTACTAAAACGATCTCGAATAATCATAAATCACGAATAGTAACTTGAAGAAATTAAAAGAAAAATGGAATTGACAATAGAGAACAGGTGCTCTATGCTTATATTTTCTTAAAACAGTATGCCAAGTATAGTATATTAGCCAGTCACCGTCGCTCCAAACAAAAAGTTCACAATGGCTAAATGTCGCGTGCTTTCGACCGAAAACTATCTGGTTTCGTGACTTGTCTCTGGTTACATCTGAAGTTCTGGGGTCTATGAACTTTCATGTCGTATTTTATACTGATTTTAGGAATTAATGCAATAGATAAGATCCATTTTTCTGTGCTTTTATAGGCAAACTAAATATTATGACATGAACACACCATACAGTTAAACTGTTCCACTTTTCCATTGTTTGCAGTGCAAGGGACCCTACAATCTCAGTTCTGATCGGGAACTAATAACAGAGCTATGGCACTTGCAAATTGTGACATAACTATGCGCACACGAGCGAAAACCTATCTGTAAATTTAAAAAAAAAACTGTTTAAATTTTATTCCAGTATATTTACGGCGAATTTGAACTCAGCTTACTTATTTTTTTAGTCTTTTGGGTCAATGGTCATTAAAATTTTGAATAAAGAACGCAAACAGACAGTGTCGGCACAGAAACGGTGCGGCGGCCCACCGACTTTGGTAGGCGTAAAATTACAATTCAAATAGAATATAAACCCAGTCTGCTCTAGTTGTGTTCATGCTGTGGTGATTGTAGAATTCCCATGTGGGTGTAGGAGTGGTGTAGTGCATCGGTAATTAAACAAGTAAAGTTAGGTTTTACTTACACGAGAAAGTTGTTTACTCTGATTCCGGTCGCGTAGGATGCGAATATAATGAATTAATGAATATTAATTACGTTTCTTTGATCATTTCTTGGTAATTATAAACAAAAATGGTAACACTGATTAAGAGTGATGGTAATAATTAAGTTTAAAAAAGTATCAACGACTTCAAAACGCCTACAACCGTCAAGAATTGTAATAACTGTATCCTTCATTCCTTAATTCCACCATAAAAGATTCCACCTCTAAGGGAACGTAGAACGTAGAATTAAACGTAGATATTATTTTTTAATTTTGAATGGCACCAAAAATACACCTTCAAATAAACCTTTTTCGAATCCATTTAAAAGTAATACACTACGCGGACAGAGAAAAAAAAAAACGTGTATCTCATACAAAATTAAAAATTAAGAATGTTTGTGTGTCAGGTAAGTGTGTATATGTTTTAAAAGATTCATTCATATTCAACATCCATAATTATTCATAATAAGAAAGTAAGAGGCTTACTTCTGTTTAAGAGATAAAATTACGCATGTGTGTTTAATATTTCAACGAAAGCCGTTGAGACATATTTAATTTTAATTCTTCTGTGCCATGGACAAAAGACCAAAAAGCTTGAGAAATTACGTCAGCAGTTTTGCAACGCTAGCGTCAAAACATTCACAGCGGATAAGCCACACTCGGTTGACACTAATTTGTTTATTTGAGCAAACATAACAATCATCCTACGTAAAGTACGCAAATAAAATCTATATTCACAATTGTAATACCATGTGAATGAGAAATTTCTTTAAACTACTGGTTAATGACGTCAATACACATAATTTTTATTTGGAATACAACAAACGCAAAATGTAAGTATTATTATTCTAAAGATTTTAATTGACTTTGCCTACTAGTGGCTTAGCTTGATTTGATTGAACCGCTTCTGGGGACCACCATTTTTATATAATTTATACATTCGTTATAGAGGGCAAATGAGCAAGAGGGTCACCTGATGGTAAGTGACCACTTTAGTTCATGCATATCACAAGGGCTTTTGCCCTTTTAACCGCCTCCCTCCCGGAATGAGGAGAATTGCTTGTAGAATTGCTGCGGAGGGACAAGCGGGCCTCCGACCAGGGCCCCAATTCTGCTATTTTATGTTTAATAAATTATTA